AACCACAGGTAATGAGGGTCTGAGTGTCAATGATTCATTTACTGCTTTAATATCTTGTGTTCGCTTCTACCCAAAGCTGAATGGTCGATTTTTTGTCCTCCTTGGTTGCCAAAAACCAGTTGAGTAAAAGGGTTTTTTAGCTCTAAGTCCTATAAGCAGGCAGTGAGGGTATGTAACAGGATTCTTACTCAAAGAAACACAAGGTTGGTAATAATGAGAACCTTGTTCTATGATTTGTGTCCTGCACTTTACCCTTCTCTCCCTTCATGCCTTGGGATATTTCATTATAGTTTCAAGTACACCCTGCCCCTTGGATAATGGCTCCAAATCCTGTAGGCAACCTGCAGCTTAAGCAGAAGTGGTGCCTGCACGTGCATTTCACAACCAGTGATTTGGGATGCTCAGGGATAATCAATGTCTTACAGGCAGGAGGTAGCTTAATGTGTTCCATATTGATAAATTTTGAGAATCAGTACTCAAATATTGTTTCCTCTTTCAGATGAGAGAAAAAGATCCAGTGAAAGGAATGTCGGCTGCAGATGACTAATATGACTCCTTCCTCGTGCACTGTAGGTATCAAGGGAGTTGGACAAACTCTGTATTGCTCTATTATTTAATAAAAAAACCCCAGAGAAGCCTATGTAAGAAATGATCCTGTTTATAGCTGCTGACAGGCAAATCTGTGGTATTGATTGTTTTTATAGTGAACCCGTTTCACTGGCAGGTTGATGAGCGAGTTTACTGTCTCGTTTCAGATCTATTCTGAAGAAATGTCTGAGTGAGAAGTGTAAGAAAAATGTGTTAGAACATTTTGTAGATTTTGCTGCTGTTCTTATTTCTGTAGTGCATGTGTTACTTCCCATGACTTGAACAGAAAAATTTTGTGTCTCAAAAAAAGAAAGTTGGACCTGCAAATACTTAGGTATGGTTGGAAAAGGAACATTCCAAGAATATTAGCAAGGAATTTATTTCTTGTGTTGCTTGTTAGCAGTATTTACTAATGGGCCAAGGCCTGGAGCAACACTTCACACTGCAGGGGAAGCAGCAATGACAGTTTTAATGCTTTTGACTTGTTCTCTTTCTATTCTGTTAAATTATGTCATCAATTTGGGGCTTGGTTTTGGTGAATTTTTCTTAGACACTGTAGAAGAATGTGGTATAGTGTTAGAGAAGTAAGAAGGCAAGGAGAAAGAAGAGATTGTCCATTTATGTTGAGAAGTCCAGGTAACTAGCCACAACTTTTCTAGGGCAGTAAAATACCATCCTAGTTATCCCTGGGAAGAACGGGGTGGGGCAGAACCACATCCTCCTGGAGCACTGACTGTTTACCTCTGCTTGTCCTCTGTTAACTGCTGGTTGGCTGGTGGTAGGTGGGGAACAAGATGAGGGAGTGCCTGAAGGGGTGTGTTCTGATAATTTCGGATGAATTCTGATGATTTTTTTTAATGCAGCTTCAACCTTTTCATTTCCTTCTTCATTCCCGTTTGCTCTGGGTTGGTGCTGCAGTGTCCCAGTGCAGGGCTGCATTGCCATTGTCTGCCTGGTGACAGCCTGACTCACGTTTGCTCTCTGAAGGTTGTCTGACACTCCTCTTGGCACGCTGCTCTTCCAGAGTCATTCTAAAACGTTTCCCTGTTGTCTCTTTGTTTCAGTTTCAAGACAGTCATCAGGAAGGCCCAGGGAATCCACACTCTTGACTGACGGACCCTCTCTGGATCAAGCCTTTCTCTACCCAATCGGCAGGCGATTTGAAACCTCCCATAGCTAATTCTAGATGCCCCTTAATATTGTGAGCAAATAGACCGTCTGGTACTAAGCACTCCAACGTTAGCACGTGTATCCCAAGGAGGCAGCTCCTCGGAGACGTGTGACTTAGAGATCGCTGTATTTACAACTCCTCCCTCCTCTTTTTTTTCATTGTGTTCAGACCAATTTCCATGTGGCCCTGTTTGATTTCCAAGTGACATTTTTAGCTAAAAATAGTCTTGTGATGTGGTGACTTAATTTTATTTTTTTTTTTTTTAAGTTTTTTTTTCCATGTGGGATAAACTGCCACCTTTGTTTCTGCCCAGCCCTTCACCGTTCTTTGAATGTCTGTTTGGAGAGGGAAATTTGTCAGTATTTTTAGAGTGCAAAACTATTCCACAAAATGCTCTGCTTTGGCTCTTGCTCCCAGGGGGGGAGATATTTAATGACAGGTAATCTGAATATGTGATGAATAGTAGCCAGAGAGAGTTCTTGGTCTGTGATGGGTTGTGATCCATGGCTCCTGCCTGGCATTACTTTGTTCTGTCTTAGCATCCATGGATTAAAGACTGCCCAGGAGCTGGGATCAGCATCCCCGTGGCTGGCACCTTCAGCACTTCCCTGTGGAGTTTCAGTTTAGGGGGCCATGGTCCCTTTGGTCCATGTTGTCCTCCAGCTGTGTGTCAGTCTTACAAAATCTTTCTTGGCATATGTTGCAACTCCCTGGTTCTTTGTTTACCAAGATTTCCCATAACTTATGAAGCTAAAGTGACTCTGACTAATAATAATGTGATTCTCCCTGGATCAATTGGGATGTTGCAAAGGCTGGTGTACAAGTAAAGTCTTGGTATCTGGTTACTCCAGGTGCCTGGGGTGGTGGTTCTGCTCAGCAATAATATTCTTCCCATTGCAAGACTGACTAAAATATCTCCTTTCGTGCTATATAAAAAAATAACTTATAAAAACCTGCAGTTGTTTTCTAGGATATCTGTTGGTGATTATAAATCACAAAGGATACTGTTAATGTAAAGAGCTGTGGTTATTTAATGAACTCAAATACTTTCTGTAACTATCCTTATGTTGATATCAGCTTTAGACAATCAACTAAGCAGAACAAAGAAATGCTGCTTTCTTAAATACATATGAGAAAAAAAAAATCCTACTTCTTTGCTAATGCCCTAAGGCACAATATTTGATTTTTCTTTATTTTTTTCCCCTAGTAGTAATAACTTTATTTTCCACTTCTGTATTTGGCAGCACTAACATGAAATACTGAAATGCCAAACAGTCGTGGGTGCACCACCACTTTTGAGGAGTCTTTTTAGCATTCTGTATTGCACCAACTCCCCCAGCCCTTCCTGCTCCTGCAAGCAGGAGATCCCGAAACGATCCCATGCCATGCTGAGCAAGGGCTGGGATCAGAACTGTTTGCAGAGCGAGGGAAGACAGGAATGCTCTGGAGGGAGAGGATGGCGTTTGGTTTCTGGGGAGGGGGCAGTTTATCCCTTTATTTTTAGTTTGTTATTTTGCCTTACTCATGTCTAAGTGCAATAAGCTCTGAATTGTACCAGTAACTCTGGCAGGCTCTTCTCAGTGACCTCAGACGGTTCTGTGGGGTTGGGGTGGGGTTTGAGGGGTTTTTAGCAATCTCACCAGGCAGAAGTAAAACGAATTTATTGTAAAATAGGTAAAGAAACAAAATTTTAATCTGTGAGGCTATTTGGGACCAGGATGTTTCATGGCATGTTCTGTAGCTGTTCCAGAAGTTTTTTTAGGAGTGTAGGCCCCAATTAGAGTTCTTTCAGTTTGAAGTATTTTTAACTGAGAATTTATGCACTGACTTCTGTTCGTGTTTGTTGGTTACGTTTCGAGGGATTCTTACACTTGAGGGCGACCTGAGAACACACACAGCACACTTGTTCTTTCAGTTTGTGTTATCCAAGAGGCTTTCCATCCGATGACACTAATCGCCGTGGAAGCAGATTGTAACATTCCACCGTGCAATCCTTTTTTGATCCTCTGATTTCAGAGTAAGAGCTTTTACACAAAGCTTTCCTGATTAGTGGAAAAACTTGGAGGCGGGGGTGGGGAGGAAAACTGCAGGAACTTCAGCCTGAATACTCCCCCTCCCCGCCCCCCACCGCCTCCCTTGCCCCGTGTTTTCTTTCCTTCCAATTTGATCCGAAGTGGAAGCATCCCTCAGCCTTGGGATAGACAAATCCTGTAAAGACCCTTCAGTCTCGATGCTTGGTTCCTGCTAGTGAGCATAGCGAAGATCACGCAGCGTTACCGTGCCGTACCTCTCATCAGCTTTGGCAAGAACCCCTCGACCTGTCGGCTCCCGGCGGGATTGGCACTGGGACACGGGCCCGTCCACGGGCGATGGATGTGCTGGGACCCTCGCTCCCATCCGCTCCTTGGTGCATCCGAGGTGGATGGATACAGTGGAACCCTTCCTCCATCCACCCATTGGTCTGTCCAGGAGCGATGGATGCGCTGGGACCCTTCCTCCATCCATCCACCCATTGGTCTGTCCAGGAGCGATGGATGCACTGGGACCCTCACTCCCATCCAGCCCAGGTGGGTTTGTTGGTCTGGAGGCAGGTCCCTCGCCCCAGCCTGGGTCAGACTGGTTTGCTGGTGGGGCCGCTCACCCCCCACATCCCACACCCCTCTGGGTTCATCCCGCTGGGCCTCCTGCCACGTCCCGATGGGTTCATCGTGCTCTTTTCCTTTGGCAAACACACACTTTGTAGAAAGGGTTAGATTATCTCGTCGTTTCTTTAAATGTGAGTTTGTGCCTTTTTTGTCTCCTAAATCTTCCAATACAGGCATATTGGAAACGAAATCTAATAAAATACTAGACAGAGCCTCCCGCCTCCGCCTCCTTTGTTTTTTTGGGGGGTTTGAGGTTGGATTTTTTGGGGTGGGGGTGTTTTCTCCTCGGTGCTGCCGCGGGTCCTCCCGCCCGCCTGGGGGCGCCCCGGCGCGGCGCTGGCCCGGCCCCGTCACGCGCGCCAATGGTGGCGGAGCGCTGAGGGCGGCGCGGAGGCCGCGGCCGGGCCGGGCCGTGTGAGGGGACCCGGAGGGGTCTCCGCCGTCCCCGTCCCCTTCCCCTCGGCAGCGCTTCCCTGCGGGAACCCCCGGGCATGGAGCTCGCCGGCCCTCCCGCGAGGGAGCTGAGGTGAGCGGTGGGCGCGGAGGGGCGCGGGTCTGAGGGCAGCTCCTAAAAGTGTAGCCAAGCGGTTACGTAAATTAGCCGAGAATTAGCGAAACTTGTGTTTGGGCTTATTAGCCGGGGGGGAGTTACACGAATTGGCGGCGTTGCGTAGTCATATGAAAGAGAGGAGAAAAGCTGATTTTGTGGTTTGGGAGGCTTAGGGGGCATTGCTGTTCCCTGGGGCTGCCCAGAGCCCCTCTGTGTGTAATGAGGGCACGGCATCTGCGCTACATTATAGACAATGTCTGTAACGCACCCGCTGCCTCGAACTTGTCGCTTTTGTGAGGAAGAAGGAGCTTGAGTCGATCTTTGGCATCTGCTTTTACGGTGTTTGTATGCTGTGTTTTCCCTCTGTCGATAAGTGCTGTCCTGTGGGCTCGGTTCGCTTCAGAAACCTGCTTAGAGGGTAGTTGGGTGACTGTGACACGAAAATTAAAAAAACCCAAACCAACAAACACTAGCATTTGTTCAAAGATCCTAAAAATCATCTGAAAGTGGTATTATAAAATTCTGACCCTAAAAAATTCTCGGCTGTTGAATCATTTGAGGAGTCGGTGGCACTTAAATTTCAGGATGTTGCTTGTATTTAGGAAGCGTTTGGAGAAAGTGCACTGAGACTTTGCTCCAGTGGGACTGGGAGCTTCCAGGATGGTGTCACAGACTCACAGGGTGGTTTGGCTCGGAAAGACCCTTAAGATCATGTCCCTGCCACGAGCAGAATCCTCCCTTTGGTACAAGCTGTGCTTGTGGCATCAGGTGGAAATGGGCATCACCCAGATCCCCACTCCTGACTGTGGGCAGTGCTTGCATGGCCCCGCAGGGAAACTGCATAATTAAGGATGTTCTTAAAAATTTTACAAGTGTTTTTGGTGCAAATTCTGCCCCTGCATTCTGTGTTCTTATCAGTGCTGTGGTCACTGGGCACTTTGAAGAATTGAATTTCTGTCAGTAATGACTGATGGCTTCAATATTATTTCAGTTTTGTTTAATCAGGTAATTGTCTTACAAAATTAGTAACTGGAGAGCGTTCCCAAGTGATTCTCTGATGGCAGAATTAGGTCTGCAGTGTACCTACATTTTTTTTCCCCCATAAATTCATTTTAGAATAGCTTTTGACTGACTTCAGCATAGTCTTACAAAGAGTAAAAGGGTGAAGGAAATTATGGATCATTTTAGTGTGATATGCAAGGTCACTTCCCAGCTCTTCCACAAACATTGTATGTCACCTTGAGCAGATTGGGGGATAAAAATACGGCCTTAATAATGGATGTATTGGTGGAATTCACTACTTAATTATCAATGTTTATAAGGTCCTCATAGGCCTTTAAGATGGATGGAAAATTAACATTTATAATATTTTTAAGCCAGTCTGACACGTAGCAAGACTGACGTATGAGTGAATCTCTTTTTATAAGCTCTGACATTGAAATTACCCCCTTGTAAAGAAACAACAGGTGAGTTCTGTGACCTGCAAATGTTCCTGACAGCGCTCAGGAGGAGCAGGAACTTCGCTTGGTTTTGGTCAGAAGTTTGTATGTTTGGGAGCTGGGGATTATATTTCCTCTTGCCTACAGACAGGCACATGATCGATTCAAATCAACAATAAATTCTTTTAAATCTCGAGCTTATATAATTAAACCACATTAAATCTATTATGAAGAAACAATTCCCTGTGTGTGGTGGGACGTGATTGCAGCTTTTGTAACAGCCCAGTGAGTGCGGTGGCAAGGCCAGAGGGTTTTTTTTTTTCCCGGTCGCTGCACCTCCATTTGTCCCTTTGTGTTAGAAGCAATGCTGAATTCCACTCGACCTGGGAGACCCTGATCCACCTCGTTTTTTTTTCACACGCTTGGGACCTGAATGGGCCAGTCCTTCCGAGGGCAGGTTTGATTTTGAGCAGATGGCATCCCTCAGCGGCGAGGATGCGTCTCAGCATTCCGAGGGGCTCTCCCTGAGCGATCTGGAGAGCCTGCACAGCTTGCGCAGCCGCTCCGCCAGCGTCAGCAGCACAGGCTCCAGCGGCCGCCTGCAGCTCCGGCAGAGAGTAGCCCACCTCATGGCGTGCGTGGAGGACGTCAGCTCGGACGATGAGATCCACGAGGAAGTGTCCCGCACCCTGGACGAAGCTTTCCTCATCTGCGGGAAAAAGCTGAAGGATAAGTGGCACGAGTTCAGGTTTCGTCCCCCCCAAGTTGGTTGTTTCTTGCGGCGCCGTTGGGGGTTTGTCGTTAAGGCTTGGCTGGCAAAGAGGTTTCTGAGTGATGAGAAGTGACAGAAAATCTTTGTTTTCTGTAGACAGGAATTCTGTGGGGAAATCAGAGCGTTCTTAGGGTTGGTTGCCTGTCCACGCTTCACTTTTAGCAATGGTTTTTGTGTGATTTTTGTTTGTTTGTAGACTACACTTAGTTACCTGGAATGTGGGCACTGCTTCTCCACCTCCTGATGTCACTAGTTTACTTCAGCTCAATTCACAGGGCCCGACTATGGATATGTATGTTATAGGGTAAGTATATATTAAAGAACTCGCTTTGTGAGTTTATTGCAAAACTGCCGAGTCTCAACAGCTTCTGGTCTGCTTTGGGAGCACTGTGGGATGTGAATCACTGGCTGGGAAGTGGTTTAACACTATTACTACCAGAAGGTGAAGACTGAGTTAGTCTAACAGAGTACTAACTGACAGCAGAGATGATTTATAGCAGGAGAAGCTTCTCTTCTTTAAGCTGCTATTTTGTGACAAAACACAGAACATTTTTTTCTAAACAAAATGTTTTGCCTGCTGTTTGCTTTGTTATCATGTAAAGGCATGTTCATTTTGATGTGACAGTTATGCAGTATTCAGCATGTTTTAAGGAAATTAGTGCAAGCTTATTAGGCATAATCTGCCATTGTGTTTTCCAAACTTTCATGAAATTTTGAAGTCCTGACAGGTTATTTGTTATATCTAGAACCTGGCATTGTCTTAAACTCAGCCTTCAGGTGTATATAAACTCCTTTAACTTTGTTTTTCTCAGTGTTAGATGTGTTAGACCTGTGGGTGGGTTAAACTGCTTGTAAATGACAAACTGAACAGCAAGAAATCTCTGACTTAAGCTTAGTGTTCTGCAAAGGTTGTATGAATTGTGTTGAAACCAACTGATGCAGTGTGAGTAATTGTGATGTGTTCAGCTTACAGGAGGTGAACTCAAAAATCACGAATTTTCTGTCTGACTTGGCATTTGATGATCCGTGGAGCATTTTTTTCATGACTGTGTTGTCTCCCTTGGGATACATCAAGGTAATTATTTACATCTCCTCAGTGTCACAGCACTGAAGGAAAGTGTCTTCCCCAGCTCCAGCTTCCAGAGCTTTTTTGCCTCAAACTCTCTATAAAAGAGAAGTTGACGGTGTTTTTGCAGGTGTCAGTCACTTCCATAGTTACACACTAGTTAGATTCATCGTCACACTTGTTGCAAAGTTTCAGTTTTTCTCCATTAATACTAATGTCCTTAATTTTAGCAGTAAAAACTGGACATTTTCATTAAGATTGCTGCGGTTCCTTTTTCTTTTCTTTTTTTCCTCCAACTTGTTTGCAGGTGAAAATAAATTGCATGTTTGTAAAACAGGATTTTAGTGGGTGTGTGTATTTATCTGAGGACTTCACATTTGATTGAAAAACTACAGCATTATATGGTAGTTTAAAGGACAATTTTTTTGGGTAATATCTGGGGCATAAGATCAGCCACAGTACTGCCTGTTTTAATAATGGAAACAATAAACATAGGAGGATATCCTGAATTTCTCCAATAAAGAGAAATTAAAAGCCTTTTGAATGATGTATTGGTTTTCTAAATCAAGCTTTATTTCAGGGTGATTTTGCTGAGATGATTGTATTATCTGCATGCTAATCAGACTCAGTAGTCGTGCTGTTATTTTAATTGTGATTAAACAAAACAAAGGACCCATTGGGAATTATAAAAAGGAAGAAACCCACATTGTTCATTCTGGTTAAGTCATTGCTGATAAACATTCAAAATCTGGCTGTGGGCTGACATTCAGGCCCTGCATGCAGACAGCTGAAAGAATTCCTAGTGGCATGCCTGGCTGATTTTGAATTCCAATTTATAAATGTGGCAGTTTGGACCCACTAATGAATGGATGCTGCCACCTAATGGCTTCCAGCAGGACTGGAGTAGCTCCAGTAATAGGAGGGAGCTGTCAGGCCGGGTCAGAATCAAAACAGGCAGCAAGGAGAGGTTATCCCAGGACAGCCAGGAGAGGACGAGCAGTTACCCCTTGGCTGACCTGTGACGAGGTTGGGTGTAGAGGGGTTGGTGTCATCCCTGGGACGTTCTGTCCCTTCAGTAACAGGGTCTGTTTTCAGAGTGGTGTTGGTCATAGTCAATTCTTTCATCACCCACAGGATCACGTTCCCTCTGTACAAGGGCTTTGCTGGATTTGGCTTTAAGTGTTTGTGGGACTAGTGCTGGTTCCAAGCAGATTGTTGTCTTGCAGTGTTCAAGACCTACAGAGAGAGGTGGTTTCATATGGATTTTGAGAAATGTCTGGGGAGTGGCCACAGCAGAGTGAAGTAAAGCAAATAAAAATGGGACTGGAAGATCTTGGTATTTCATGAATGTAATTATGGGAAGGAGAATGGTGGCTACTGAAATATTTATGCATCATCTAGTAATTGCAATCCAGCCCTTCAGTATACTGTTTAGTACTGTGTTGGGTTCAAGGACAATGAGAACATTGACATAAATTCTGAAGTCATTTAATTGTGTAGATATGGAGGCGAGGAAAGGAAGAATTCTGTTCTATATTTTGGGCTGAATGTATGTACTTCTCCAGCAGTTGTATAGTCAGTGTTGTTCTTAACAGCAGATTTTATTCTAATGTAGGCTTTTTCTAAGTTAATCCATCATAAAATTGAACTACAATTAATATATTTCAATGTCTGTATTTTGAATTGAATCATTATCATTAAAGCAAACACTTAAAATGAATTTTGTGTCTCATGCCAGGAACGTTGTAAAGTCCATAACTTTTTAATGAAGAGCATCTTTATTAGACTATTTCCACACACAAAAAAAAACCCCAAACCACAAAAAACCCCGTGTCTTATGTGCTCCCTGAGTGTTGTTGCTTTGGAAGTGTTTGATAAATCAGTTTTACAGGCACTGCAGGCAGGAGTTGCCGCTGTTTGCAGCTCACTGTTTTTGCAGATGTCTAGAATTACCTGCTGTGCTTTTTAGGTGTTTTAGTGGCATTTAGAATGTTTAGTGATCTGCTGAAGGATGGTTCAGTTTGAAAAACTTGCTGCTGTTGGAGGATTTTTAGGCGTGAGCCATTAAGATTACAGGTGAAAAGTCAAGGGTTTGGTTCTTCCTGAACAGGATTCTTTAAGATAGAGACAAGGCTGGGGAGGCAGAAGCAAAGTCTTTAAAGAGGTTTGGGCAAGGTCAAACTCAGATTTGTAATATGATGTTACAGCTGTGTTAATTAGTTGGGGGATTGATCAGCTTAGTTTATAAGCAGGTTTACCCCAGGAATGTGTTCCTCACAGCACTGGAACGTGCCTGCATTTACTGTGTCCCGGGATCGAAGCCACTCTTGGCGAGGGAATTGCATGACTTGTGCTATGTTGTTCTTCACCTCAAAGCTCCTGTGAAGTAGACCCAAGTCATTCCAAACGCCTCCCTGGAAATGACCATTCCCTCTTCCGTCTGTGTTCCAGCTCTCCTCCGTTCGCATGCAGGGCTTGCTGCTTCTGATCTTTGTGAAGCACATCCACCTCCCCTTCCTCCGGGACATCCACACCCAGTTCACACGCACCGGCCTCTATGGATACTGGGTAAGGAAGTGCCTGACACTCGGCTGCCCTGGTTACTTGTGGTGATGTGTGTGTGCTTCTGGATGGTTTCATGGTGGGAGGAGGAGATGTGGTTCAATTACAAATTTATAAACTGACCAGCAGCGAGACTCGTTTGTCTGAGCTGTGTGTGCGAGTGCACTGCACAGACCATAATTCTGGTTTATTAGCTGACCGGCCACAACTTCTGTAGGATGAAATTGTGCTGATTTAAACCTAAATAGCAAGATTTAAGAAGTTATAGGTGATGTTAATAGTTACCTTTGCAGGCTTTGAGCGTAGGTTCAGGGAGTGTTGTTGATGTTCCGTCCCAGGGGAACAAAGGAGGAGTCAGCATTCGCATGTCCCTCTATGGTCACACAGTCTGCTTCATGAACTGCCACTTGCCAGCCCACATGGAGAACACGGAGCAGCGACTGGATGACTTTGAGAAAATCCTGGAAATGCAGTTTGAAGGAGAGAATATTCCAAGTACCTTGGAGCACGAGTGAGTCGTTCACCCAGCTCTGTTGGCGTTGGCTTTATCTATTACATGGTGAACTCACGCACTGAAGAGTTTTGGGCTTGGAATTTTCATCCGTCGTTTTTATTTTAAATGTCCCTTCAGCCTGAATCCTGGGGGGAAAAGATAACCTGAAAGATGGAGGTCTGTTTTACAAGACTGTTCCCTTCCTCTTTAATTACATAAATCAGTTAGCATATAGACTGTACAAGCCATGCAGGAAAGCTTTAGAAACTAAAACCTGTTTATACCAAAAATCCTTTCGATTGCTGTTCAGTGTTCAGAGATGCAAATCATTGGGAGGCTCAGGAGAAATTAGTATTCAGACAGTAATGAGCAAACAGCAAGAGTGCAAGGGACTTAATTTACTGTTTCAATTACTTCAAATTTTTGGTGTAGCAGCAGGTTGTGCCTGTTTAAGCTTATCTATAACTACTTAATGTTTGTGTTTAAGCTGTTTGCATTAAGTAATATAAGTGATTAGAGCACCTAATTAGCGTAATGGCTTTTATTCTGTTGAATTCTTTCACTTCTGTTAGTGGATTCCTATAAATCTTCTTTGGGTTTTTGCATTTATTGTTTGTTTCTTCTTCTTCTTAAGTGTTCTCTTCTGGTTTGGAGATCTGAACTTCCGGATAGCAGACTACGGCATCCACTTTGTCCGGGAATCCATCAACAACAAGCGTTACAGTCTGCTCTGGGAAAAGGACCAGGTATGTTGCCTTGGTTTGTGGGGGGGTTGGGTTGGGTTTTTAATGCTTACAAGCACAGCATGGTAGTTACCATCACCTCTAGAGTTTCTAATTTCTTTTAAAGAACACAGAGCAGTCGTGAGGTGGGACAGATCTATCTGTTCACTCTCTCACTTCTCTCAGTCATAAGCCCCAGTTAATTGCAACTATTTCTGCCTCTCTTTAGTTTCTCACTTTACAATACTTGTGTTTGACTGGAGCTTTCGTAGAACTTCATGTCTTATCAGTTGTTCCTCACCTTAATTTCTCCTCTTCAGCCAAGAATTATTTTTAAGAGAACCTTATTCTGGAATTTGTTTTGAGTGTAGTTGCCTCAAAATTTGTGGACAGATCATGTCAAGAGTTCTGGCAGTAACAGAGGCACTTCTGAGTTTACCTTTCCAATTATGTTGTACTAGTGAGATGTTGAATTCTTGGAGGAGCTTTCTCAATCACCCTTTAAGCTCTGATTTTTAAACACAAACTTTAAAATCTACTTTTTATTTCTGCAGTTAAATATGGCAAAAAAGACAGAAGCATTTCTTAAGGAATTCATAGAGGGTCCTCTGCAGTTTAAGCCCACCTACAAGTTTGACCTTTACTCGGATGTGTATGATACAAGGTAAAAGCATCATAAGATGAGTTAAATGTGGGATATGAGGGTGAATGTGGGTGCTTGGTTAAATATCACTTTAATAAGTAAACCTGAATTTGAAATGTACTGCTTGACTGGGGCTGTTGAGCTACTCTGTTGGGCTTCTTCACTGATCGAATCTGAATCAATTAATATTGCTGGTTGATGAAGCTGGAGTCTGATGATTGCATCAGGGAGGTAGTGAAACAACCCAGCTTCCTTTTTAGAAAGACTGGATTAACAGAATAAATGAGCACTTGTTTAAGCCACTTCTGTTTTGTTGTGTACTGCTAAAAGTGCCCATTGGTTGTCAGAAAAGAGCAGAAGAAAAAGAGTAATTGTCTGCCAGTTTTGTTTTCCTTCTCTGTTTAAGCATTTTATTTAGGTATGCTGGTATTTTGAAAGTTAATTTGTCTCTACTGATTATCTTAAGTTGAAAATGTATCTTAAGTTTCTGAAGTTTTTCTCTGATGCTGAAGTTTGTTGTTAAGTATTAGTCTTATATCTTGACAGAAGGATAAGTTCCTGTCCAAACAGGGGTTTTGTACTGATCTTTTTCTTTACTTCCAGAGAACAGAAGTCCCTGTTTTGGTTTAAGTAAGAAGAGAATTTTCTGAATTTTGTAGTTTCGTAAATATTTCTGAATCAAAATCAAGGCTCCTTCCAAGCTTTTGATTTGATTTTTGTGAAATATTTGAAAATCAGATGACAGCTGATTTTCTTTAGGGCCTTTCTGAACCTGTCTGAAAGCTGTAGTGTTATCTACTCTGCTGTTGCACTTAACATTGGATCTTTATTCCTTTATATCCAAAGGCATTTTGCTCCCTAATTGAATGTAAAGATACATAATGAGACCAGCAGTAAATCCAGTTAACAAAGAAGACTTACAATACTCCAAACCCAGACTTTCTACAAATGATTCATAGCCTAGTAGTCTGTACTGGCTCATTTAAAGAACAAAAAGTGTGCTTGCACATACTGTGTGTGATGTGCTGCTGTTCAAGCAAGCAGAGATGCTTTGCTCAGGTGGGGGGAGATCAGCAGGCCTCATGGCAAGCCCCCTTGAAAAGTGTGCTTTTCATGAACTCCACAGTATTTTGTTAGATTTGATGCTTTTTCAATGTGAATGTTGAGGTTTTGTTTCCCATCTAATCTGCCATTCTCTCTAAAATGGTGAGTGTATTAACTTGAGCTGTTTCTTTGGTATTTTCTTGCACAGCAGAGCAGACATATGGCAGCTCATAAAGATTTCTGTCGGTTTATATAATTACTGGAGTAAGTGGGATAAGGGCCCTTAGTCATTTAAAATCTTTCCACCTTCCTAAAGGTGAGTCAGACTTGCATATGGGAAGGGGTAAAGTAAAAGCACATTGAATATTGAACTAAATGGCATTGGTTTTGATATTCAGACTTATTAAACTGACAGTTTTCCTTACACATCCTGCTCGTTAACTTTTATAACTCAATCCAGTCCGTTCTAATTCCTCTTCCAATAGGGTATGATCTTTTCTCCATTTCAATTTGAAGTGACACATCCACACAGAGGAGTTGCTGTTAAATCTTCCTCCCCCCACAGAGAGAACCAGGGAAGGCTCCTGTCTTCTGCTGGTACTGATATGGCACAGGAGGAAACTCTGCATTAAGATTACAGTTGGATGTACAGCACAGTTGCAGGCACAACTTTCTTGATGATGGAACTTTGAAAGCCTGTTGTTGTAAGACCTGCAATGCAGACTGGTACAATTTAGAGGGACTTCTAAATAAAGCATTGCTGTGGCACCTGTGATCACCATAAGCTACTTAAGTTTGTCCCCGTTTTTTGTTGTTAAAAGAAACTCACTCTCAAATATCTTGAATAATTTCAAACATCATTCACACAATCTTCCTGCGTATTCCTTATGTTTATGCCCTCATTTCTCAGAATATCTATACATTTGAAGCTTGGGGCAGTTGCTGTATTATCTCAGTGTTCTTGCATATTTATTTCTTTTTAGGAGAAAGTATCATTTCCTGTATGAAGCCGACTAACCCACTGAAATGCCCCTCTCCCCTTCATTTTACTCCTCTTTCAGAAACCCACGAAACTGCTCTGTGCTTAATGGAGTTCAAATTAAGGAATCGTTGGCTGTAAAGCATTTTGAACAGAGCTGTAAAATGAAGCTTGGATGTGATTGCCCTCTTTTATTGATTTGTATCTGAGTGTCTTTGAACTTTGAGTAGGTTTTGCACAGCATTCTTAGCTTTTGGCAACTTGTTTTTCCTCTCATTTCACGTTTACCTTATGTTTTTGCAGTGAGAAGAAACGAAAGCCAGCGTGGACTGATAGGATTCTTTGGAGAGTGAAACATCTCTGCCAGAATGCATCAAAAGAAGGCGAATTCTCTGAAGAAGAGCAGACAATTTTTGTTACTTTGAATAACTACATCAGCCACATGAGCTATGGCATCAGCGACCACAAACCTGTTACAGGAACATTCGGGCTCGAGGTGCTGTCCCAGTTATGTTGTTAAGAAAAAGTTTGTTTTATTAAGTGTTGCCTCACAGAATCTGGTTTCTAAACCAAAATCTCTGTTTCCTTCTGATGATAGTGAAGGCAGCAAATTGGTTTCAGTTTATTTCCAGTTTTTTTCAGTTTATTTCAGTTAGGAGTCCCAGAGCAGACGTGGCAGAGAATAACAATAACTGAAAGAATGACACACTTGACTGACTTCAAACTCTGCTCTTTTGCCTAGTTGAAGCCTCTTGTCTCAGTCCCTTTGGTGGTGCTGAATCCTGAGGGCGAGTGGAGTGCAGAACATGACGTTATCATCCGCTACTCCACAGTGCCTGAATTCCCGAGCAGCGCTTGGGACTGGATTGGGCTCTTCAAGGTAATGTCATGTCATGGTTCTTCAGCAGAGATGGTGAACAGGACTGGAGGAGGTAGTTGCTGGTTTTAGGGCATTGTGGTTCTTGCTAGAACTCTCTGAAATAGTTATATCTCCTTGATTGCCATTAGTTTCTGTGTGCTGACAGCTTAGCTCCATAGATGTGAGTTCTTTCACGCCCTTTAGATTCTCTGCTAAGATACTGTGGTGATTTATTTAAATAAAATGTTGCAGAAGCTGTGGAAAGGAGTTGTCTTTTTCCCCCCCCACGATGTCTGCAGTTCAAGAGATTTATGTAGCAAAGAAAGAACAAAAATGAGTTAGTGGAAGGGTAAGAGAAAAGAGCACTCACTCTCTCAGAAACCAAAGTTTTGTGCATGCCCCTAAAATGTTTTTCTCCTGAAAGTGCAGTGTTTTAATTACTTCAGTGAAGTAGTAAACAGCTCTCACAACTCTTGAGTTTTCCATGTAATATGTTTTTTGTTTTCTTTAGAGGGCTGATGGTTTGCATCTTTCTCTGCAGGTGACTTTCAGGCATACCAATGATTATGTTACTTATGCTTGGGTAGAAGATGATGAAATCTCTTCTGACAAAGACAGTAAACAAGTAAGGCAGTTGTATTTCTTTCTAATGTAGTTTCCCACAGAGTAGCATTGAAGGTCTGTTTGTCCCATACCCCTTTCCTCTTCTGTGTCCTCTTTGCCAGCTGAAGCTAACTGGGAGCAATATTATTGTTTAAAATCCCTCTTCCTAATGCTTAGCAATTTTCAGGTAGTCTGGCACACCTTCTCAGTGTGATCATATTGCGTAAGGGAATTGATGATAAAGCAACTTATTCCTTTAGGGACTTTTCATTGTATTAAGAACTACTGTCACTTTATATTTTGATCTGCTTCTGCCACTGAATTAAGTAATGGCCCATTTTTTAATCTGATTGTTCAAGTTGCTCAGTGTATCCTTAATATTTATTATAAGATTTTGGTTACAGTTGTAAGTATTTACACAGTTAGTTCCACATATCTAATACAGCTCCAGATTGGGGTCTCTTAGACTTTTTGTTTTGACTACTGAATGTTTTGATCTTTTGTTAAAAACTGCTGTCTGGTACAAAGCTTTCTAGTAGGGATTACCTAAAGTGATTGAAAACAACCAAACAAAACTTATTTTGAATACAAATGGTGTGTTATGTCATGTTAGGGATTTTGTAAGTTAGCATCAGGTTTACAGCAAGAACCCAAACTGTACTGTATAAATATTCCGAAGCTCAAAAGTGCTCTGGTATCAAGTTTTCCTATCACTAGGCTTAGAAATCTGAGCACTACAGACGTTGTTTTAGCAGGATACCGGGGGGTGCAGTTTGGGGACAGGGGGATCTTTAGGACAGGAGCAAACCGAGGTGCTGCTTTGCTCGTTGCCACCAGGAGGCAGCTCCGCTCCCTCCCTGCTGCTCCCTGCCCTTGTCCTTTCCCCTGCAACACTCGGGGCTTTTTCTTCTCCTCTCTCACTGAACCAACTCGTCTTGCTATGAGTTTTCCACCCTGATTTAGTTTTCAAGTGGTTTCATGAGTTATTTCTGCCCTCATCCGTTTTAAAACCTGCTTATAAATAGTACTGATTTTTAGTCCTAAATGGCAGAGACTGATTTTTTTGTAAACTTCTTTTTTCTGTGGAAGTTGCTCATTGCCTGTTCTTATTCTTGTTGCCAGGTTTACATGAGTGCTGCAGAAATACCTACTATGGGAGGAGAATTTTTGCTGTGTTATTATAGCAATAACTTGCAGTCAATAGTTGGCATCAGCGAGCCTTTTCGGGTAATGTATTTGGAAGCTCTGATTAATGTTGATGTGATCTTCTCAATTTCTTTTGCTTTCACATGCATCTGAACATAGGTGTGTGCAACTGTGCTAATGCTGGGAGAGGTGGCAGCAGAAGGAATTCTAAAAATTATATGTCCTGGCTAATGTCCCATAAAAGAATTCGCTGATGTGCTGAAAGACTCTTGAGAAGCTGTTATGGCAGCACACAGCAGTGAAATAAGACAGGTTTCTTCTCTCTCAGCTTTCACTTTTGGAACTTCAGGCTCTCATGTTAGGTCCTGGTTTCTAGAAAGATGAGACCTCAAGTGCTACCAAGTTTCTGGCAGATTGGGAGTGAGCTCTTTGTGCTCCCTTCTGTGATAGATTTGCACAGAAGTGTTTCCTGTATATTAGTCACTTGAATTTGGGAAAGACAGCACAGCTGGAACTCAAGTTAATTGTTTAACAGACTTCATTTAATTTCTGAAAGGATCACTGAACCTGCACAAGCAAGATGAAGCGACCAATCATTTGCTGCTTCTACACAAGCACTGTTTTTTCCAAAATAATTTTGTTTCTGCATAATTTTCTGTGCTGCCATGGCTGTGCTAATGTGTTGTGGAATGACTGAAATAGAAGTTCTGCACTCCTGTTGGATGAAGGGGTTTTAGGAGACTGTGGAACTGCATTGCCTTAGGGGATGCAGTAATGAAAGTCACTGGGCTGGCTGATGTATCTCAGTGCTACTGTTCCTGTTTTTCTCTCTGTTTTGGTGAGAAATGTGGCAGAGCATTTCTGTTGCCTCTGAGCTTAATATCTACAGGAGACTCTGCAGGATGGTTGTCACTTGTACGTGGATACAACATCCAATATGCCTTTCTCTCTGCACAACACTTAATGTTTTGGTGTCAGTTTAGTGGATTTTTACCTGGTTTTTAAATTTTCTCAATTTTTAGCAAATATGACAGACACCTTTACGTAATGGAATCTTGACAGTGCAGAGCAAAACAGTGGGTTTGAGTTGTTAATTTGTGTTTTAACTTGTTTTTCTCCTAGATTCAGCCCAGCAAAACTTCAACAGAAAAGGATTTGGCACAGGGAGAGAACAGTTGGATGCAGCAACCTGACAATCTGGAATCACGCGATGAGTTTGAAGACAGGAAGGGCATTTAGTGGTCCTGATTCAGGAGTCAGATGATTCTTTATGTCTTAGTGATTGTAAGCTTTTACTCTTAGAAGATGGAGTAAGACAGGTAGGATTGTTCAGAAACTTTGTAAGCTCATAGAAGATAATTTATTGTGGAAACAGATATTTTTATTACGGGGAGAGTAACTCTCTTGCACTGGATGAGAACTGTAAAAATAGCACTTAAGGAATGCTGTATGTTTTAAGGTGATAGACATTTCTAATACAATGATTTAACCTAAGGAAGTTGCCATGTTTAATAGGTTTTTAGGCTCGTTCCCTTTTTTTGTAGAGGATATTTTATTCACGATGCAATATTTACTATGCTGTAACCACTTAATAACTGATTTCCACATTTTGAGTTTAAATGAAGTTATTTTAAAAAAATATTTATTAGATATGGCCAGTTAGCTTGTTTTTAAATTTTATTTGACTTTCAAGTGTAAGCTAATTACCTTTTGGGAAACATGTGTGACAACAGGTCACATGAAAACAAAATCTTTGTGTGAAGTCTCCTTTGGTAGATCCTTTTCTTCATGCCTTACTGAGAACTCTTTGTAGGATTTTCCATTTCTGATGTTTCCAAATTGAAATACATTTATCAAAATGTATTCCTGATTTTTTTTTTTTTTTAAATTCTTCTTTTATAAAACAATTAAGCAATTTGCCTATTGCCTTTCTCCCCCTCATTAAAAAAAGTAAAATAACACCATTTTTATACCAGTCCCTGGCTTGGAGTTGACCAGGATCCCACAATTTCTCAAAGAAATGCTTTAGCATAGGTGAGGAGCCCATGACTGATGAAAAATTGGCATCATCTGTGCTATAAAAATTGTAAATCTCTTCCATTTATAGCAATCAGTCTTAAAAATTTCTGTTTTTCTAATGGTGCTTAGACCTTAATATATCCTGTGCACTTGAGGGTGGAGATGGAATAAGAAACTTCATGTACCTTTGGGAACCTGAAAGGTAGTTAGCTTCAGAAATGGTTTCGTTCCTTGGATGAGGAAATGGAGATATTTGGAAAGGATAGGAAGAGGCACCAACATTCCACAGAGTGTGAGACTGCAGTGCTGGAAAAGAGCACTGGTGAGTCTCCTGTGTTACAGATCCAAAGCTTCCAGCTACCTACCACGTGTGGTAAGTAGAGTTAGTCACTAATCACTGTCCTGGTGGTTAGGGGTGGAAAAGAACAAATTTGGTTCAAGTGGAACAGCAAAGGATGTTGGTGTGTTTATGCTGGAATGCTGCTTCAGAAAGGAATCAATTCCTTTTTGCTCTTTTTCTCAAAGCCTTATTTTTTTTCAGGGTTGTTTTTGAGATAGGAAGTTAGCACCTTGATGAGGATGGTTGTTTTGCAGTTACTTGCTTGTATCATTCACTGTATAAAATCTTCTGAGGGCCAGGTGTCTTTGTATGCTGAGGAAGCTCTAATAGGTTATCTGCTTAGGTAGTTGCAGTGGGGTTTAGGAACACTTGGCCTCTGTAGGTTTTAGACATGCTCAGCTTAAAGCTTAGTGTTGGGAACTACTCCCTGTCATGAGTAGCAGGTTCAGAGGATACTTGTGTTCATTGTGTGGATTAACACTGCCTTGAGGTTTACAGTTTGTACATTCCTGTTACACTTTGGAACCATATTAGAAACAGTTTTCACATTTGTACCGGTCTGCCAACAGTTTGTTTTGCACTGAATCTTTCAGGTGTGTGACTTCTCATGGCAATTAGGGCATCAGACAAATCCCTGTCGAACTGCAATAAGCAGTTCTCGAGTTGTCCTCTGTTCCTGATTTCACTTGTGTAACCATTACCGTACTCCACACAAGGAGATTCTGTGGAGAGCCCAAAGAACAGTGGTCTGTGAATTGCAGACCACAGCTGGTGATTTATTGTGGACCAAGATCCAGTTTCTTCCAAGCAGGGTGTGTGTGGTGTTCAGGAGCGGCGCAGAGGGGGAGCCACGCGGCCGCTCTGCTGGGGCGAGACACTCGAGAGCCTTCCTGTTGTGTGGGAGCTGATAAACCCTCTGTCACTGGACACAGGAGCTGCATTTTGTAAACTAATCCTTTGAACCACAGGACTTCACTGCAAATGCCCACGGCAGCTGGGGTTGGGACTGCTTGTTAGTAGGATGCTGCACAGAACTGTACTTCTTTCTTCAGTATTATGCACACAGAGGCACTTTTGTTTACTACTGTTACCTATGGTAGCTTTTCAAACTATTCCATGACCTGTAATGATGCAATTTCTGATGAAATTTATCTTTCTTAAAACACCTTTAATTGGATGTTATAATCACTGGAAATGTTTTTATACTCGTGTGTTTTCTTCTCCTGTACCTCTGAAATAAATCCTGGCAGTGAAGTGTTGAACATGGCCTCTGTTGATTTGAGGATGAGCATATTGCTTTGGGTGGGGAAGATTAATTTGTGCATGGTAACCTTTCTCCAGGAAACCCTGGTCCTGTTTAATGCACAGATACAACAGTGGTTTAGAGTGCAAATCAGTCAATAATAACATATGTTGTAGGGCTTTGGGCTTCAAAAGAAGGGCAAGGACGGATGCTATTTTTCTTTTGGACAAAGCAGATTCATCCAGTTTTTCCCCCCCTGTTTCAGTGAACCCAGTATTAAATGAACTTGTCATTTTGCATTTCTGTCCCCCTTCCCCCACTGAGGAGGGTTTTGGTATTTTCCTTGTAAAAATGCATAAACACTTAAATTGCTTTCTTAATTTTGAAGAATGGGTTTTTCTAATTTCCCTTTGTCACGGAGAATTTTTCACGGTGTGATTTGAGGTGTCATTTTTGTCTTTGTGAAAGATCTGCTTCGTTATGCTTTGTATTTTAAATTTTTGCATGTTTTAATATAAATTTGGACTCAATTTCTGTCTCCAGGATAACTCTTGGTAATTCCCTGGTGTTAGAGAATTTATTTTAAAATAGGAAATATGCCTACCAAGGAATGTTGTCCGGTATAGCCTCATTTAACTCCCATATATTTCTGATTCCTGGCTAACCCCAGGATGTGCAGTGTATCATTGCACAGAGATAGTACAGCTCTGTGTAAACAGGAAATATTTCTAAGATGTCTTGCGTGTTTGTTAGACCCTAAAAATACGTTCTGATAAAGACTATTGTTTCCACTACCACTGCTTCCTTCTCTGCTCTTGGACACCAAGTGACACTCAGATGAACTTGTCTTAATTAATATACTGCAGTGGAAAGGCCAGTTGAACAAAGCTTGAATTCGTTATTCCTTGAGAGAGGAAACGATCCCTTTTTTCGAGAACTCTGCGTTACCGACAGGAAACTTCCAGTGGCCCTTCCAGCCCTTGGATATAGGGATTCACTACTGGAATGGGATTGAACTGAAGTGATTCCTGTGCAGTGCACAGTTACTCTGGGCATTGATCTGCTCAGGAACTGCACTGATCTAGTCTGTTTAATTGCTTCAGCTTGAGAGAAACCATCGATTTGTGCGTGGACACCCCACTCCCTTTCTTACAGTGGAGCCGTCTGCCACTCACAAGGTCTCTGCAGTCAAAAATCTCATTTTGCAATCTTGAAAGTAGAATTCTGTTTGGGGACATTTGAGCACAGCTTGGAAGAATCACTGGAGGAAAACAGTGAAGTCAGGGGAAGTGTGGGAACTGGGAATGCAAACTGCTGGGAGGAAATGCAGAGGTGCAGGGGAAATTCAGAAAAAAAGAGTATTGGCACCACAAAAGGAAGAAAAACAGAATAGCAAACATTTTAACCTGCTAACTATACTTTGAAACTGGCAGTTATTTAAGTACAGACATCAGTCCTGGTAGGGAATGTTTCAGTGTTATTTATCAAATACCACTTTCACTGTGTGTTTTCAGTGTAGTTGCAGTGGTTTTGCAATGAACTGCTTGAGCTCAGCAGAGACCACACTGTGTTCCTCTCTTCCCTTTTTTATTTTGTTCTTATATTTTTTTTCTTCAGCTTCTTTCTACTTTCTTCATCCTTTTTTTTTTTCTCTTCTCACTGAGTTGTAGCCCATTTTCAAAAGCTTTTTTGCACATAGTTCTGGTATCAGCATCACAGGAGCCATTCCAGCTACACAATTCTTGTGTTCTAGATGACCAATCTTTGTGATTTCTCTCCATAGGAAGGGGAGAAAGGACAAGCTGGGTATTGCTCCATATTACTGAGAATATGGTGGGTTTGTTTGGGGAAGTGACAGTGATGGGGTTTTTTTAAACATGATAAATCTCTTTTTCAGTAGAACCCTGTATTGGCAAGTAAGTGCTCAAGGCAACAATTGTTGGAGTGGAACAGTCTGGTGTGTAACAGCTAAGGGAAGCATAAGAATAATTCCAGATATGAAAGACAGAACAGTGACAGGCTGTTTCTTTTCAGCTGCTGAACAGACTGGTGTTACCTGGATCTGCTCTGGAGTGGCCAGTGGTTGTTAATATTATGAAGTAGGTAGGTTTTCTGATGAGCATTACCGTTTGTATTTGGCTCGTAGCAGAGTTGAAAATTCAAAATTGGCTCTTCCAGGAAGATAAAAGGAATTGTCTCCTATCAGCAAGTCTTAAGATACCTGAAATTTAGACTGATTTCCCCACTCCAGTCACGGGTGGGATATCTCATCTTTTTTGAAGGGAGTGAAAGGTCTGGCCTCTCCATTAATGGATGGCATGACCATTGTAAAGCTCTGTAACTGCACTTAAACCAGTGTTCACCAGAATATTTTTCTCATATTTGTAGTAGGAATTTTTGTGCACTGATGTGCAATTAATTTCCTTTGTCATGATTAGTTAGCTACTCAAGGACTCAATTAATAACGATCTCGTTCTGCAGCAATTTGCAGAACTTCCTGTAGTTACCACGGGAGCAATTGGTATTTTCTATTGCCCTGCCTCGTGGAGGCAAAGGATGAAGAATTTTTTTCTACATAAACCCTCTTGGTAAAGATTTTTGAAGTCTGCCGTGTGATTGTTTCGTACCAATACCTCTGAAACAGCATCCGCAGCGACTTGACTTGGGATTCTGAGTCCGCTGGGAGCGAAGTGGAACATTAACAAAGTTGGCAGCAATAAACACGAGCATAAATTTAGGCTTCTTGGAACTGTCGTGGCACATTGTAACCAGTGGAAACCAGTCTTGAACTTAATTGTTTCAGCTCACACCTAGCACTTAGTATAAATACAGAGGTTCATCTTTTCCTCTCACAACAGGGCTCTCAACCAAAGATTGCAGTTAGTCGAATTCTGCTGCTGCTGCTGCTGTGTGCTGAAATCAGAACTATCCGTAAAGAACAGAGAGATTTACTGAGTTGCCTTGGAAAAATGGAGCTGCGGATTGAACGTATTCCTACAGGAGAAATCATCCGCGTGGTCGGTCGCGATGGAGAGCGCAAGACTGTAAGCCCGGCTTTTATTGTTCTGTTTTCCCCTCTTGCAGTGTTAGTTACACAATAACCAGCTTAGTTCTGAACTGAGCGACTCCAGTGCAGAAATATGAGGGTTTGCAAGACTGGTTGGTTCTTGGAGTGGCTGTAGCTGTGTTGTGAACAGTTTTCTCTCCCTAGGATGGAATTAGTAGCAATGAACGTTCATATGAAGTGACTGTGAGTTTAGAAAATTGTTAAAGGGCATTTCCTGTTGAAATACTGTAGTGTAGCAAAGTTGGTGTGACTTGCAGTTGGTGTTTGGTCTGGCTGTATTAATTCTGTCATAATTCTGGAGGCATTTTCGGAGTACGAAGGAAGGGAAAGAGCTCTGAAGAGTGTTTTGATCCTCCTCAATATTGACTGTTTGTGCTGTCATTGGGTTCATGCCCTGAATGTTATAGGAAGGTTCACACATGGAAAATTCAGAGTTGAGGGACATATTAACAGGCTACTATGAGTATCTCAAGGAACTGAGTATTCTGTTAACTTGTGACTTTTACTGACTCTGGTTCAGGGTTTGTATGCAAGCAGATGGAAAATCCATGAGCTGATTATTTCTGGTTTGATGTGGTAGATATGAACAGTTAAGAAAGGCACAGTACTCTTCTAAAAATACTTTCCGTTTTCTTGGGATGCGCGGCCATTCCGTGTGGTTTGCTCCGGAATATTTTCTAACTGGATTTGTATGTTTTTTAATTAAAGGATTCTTTAGAAAAGAAACTGTAAAAACTATTTAAAATGTTTATAAAGTACCCAAATGCAACTGTGAATTTATAGCTCTCTGCCATAGGTGCTTAAAAGCCATGTAACAGCTCTGGTAGATTCATCTTGTACTGAAGTGCACATCTGTGCATGTTGCTCCCGTTTCCTTGCATTGTCCTTGTTGTGACTAATCTAAAACTCGATCTGAAAATTAGCTGAGACATTTACTGTGTGAGGTTACACCGCTGTCAGGTAGAGTCACTTTATTCCACAAAAATCTGAGAGCTCTCTCTGCCTTGCTGGAAGAGGAGATAGTGGCAATTCCAGTGTTCTTTGGTGTTCAGTAAATGGTCCTGAAATGTTACCGACTTACTTGTAGTGACAGTAGAGGACACTGGCGGGACTGAATTGTCTTTCCCAGGGAGAACTGTTCCTTTAAACCTTATCTCAAACAGCATGTGCCAGGGTCCTGGGGGAGACATCAGCAAGAGAAAAGGTATCAGTTCGGCTTGCTAAAAAGTTTTAAATGCTCATTAACATGCCATAAAAGGGCAATTTGCTACTTTGAGAACAGCAGCCTTGTCGGTGCCAAGTGCTGTCTGTGGTGCAGGAATGGCCAGAGAGAGGCAGTTTCTGATGTCCCGCGCTTTAACAGAGGCTTTAAAGACCCTTTCAACTGTTGCAGGAGTGGCAGAGCTTTACTGTTTCAGCTCAGTGTGGTTCAGGATGTTGGGAATTCGATCACGTGCAGAATTCCCCGTGGATCCCGAGGAAGGCTGCCTGCGGTATTTCCCACCTGCGTGGATGCGGATAAACCATCAGAGGAGATGGTTAACCTGAACGTGGCGAAGTTCGCTCTGTCTCTCCGTGGTGGGGGGAGAAAACCACTCGGGAGCGAACTTTTCGAAGGCGCGCTTTTTCACGACGCCCCCCCTGACCACCAGAGGCGGGGTGGGGGGGGGACAGGACGGGCAGAATTCCCTCCAGCGCGGCCGTGCGGGGCGCGGGGGGACAGCGAGCAGCGGCGGGGCGGTGCGGGGCAGCGCGGGGCGGTGCGGGCGGTGCGGGCAGCGCGGTGTCCGTGCAGGTGAGGGCGGAGCGGGGGCCCAGCCCGCATGCCCGGCGCTCGGACATGCTCACTAGCGGCGCGGCGCGGGCTCCGCGGGCAGTCGGCGCCGAGGCGCTCGCGGAGCCGCCGCAGGGCCCCGAGCCGCGTCCCGCGGCGCCCAGCGCAAGGTGAGCGG